AGAATAGATAATGAATGTTTGTTTTGATTAGGGGGAAAAAAAAACAGACTTACAAAAGAGGAGGCATTTCCTACTTGATGGAGGAAGAAGAGATTCCCAATAGATGGAGATAGGAGAAAAGAAAGACATGATGAACAGTATAAATGACATTAGATCCTTCCTGAGCCACTAGAGGTAGAGAGTAAGACCCAGAATGGCCAAGGAGGGAGGCTGGGGAAGTCTTTGCCTACGCTTGTCCCTCTTGTGTGGCTCTGGGTAACTCTTACCTTTCATATCTTACCTCACTTGCACTTCCTCAGGACTACTTTCCTTGACTTCTCCACTAGAGACTTTCATACCAAAACCAAACTTGTTTCCATCAAGTCCATTCCAACTTATAGCACAATATAATTCTCCTTCATAGCACTTTTTTACAACTATAATTTTACATCTATTGGTGTGTTTAACTTCACCCACTAAATCTGAGAATAGGGACACGCGGTTGTTTTTGTTCTTTTTTGTATTAGCAAATAATTGAATGCCTAGGCCATTTCAGGCACATTTTAACTATCTGTTGAACATATGAATCAATCAATCAATCAATAAATAAATGGAGTTCATTGGATTCGAGGTCATCAACAAGGACAGTAAAAGTAGAAAAAGGAGAGACTAGGGGCACAGTAACAAACTTACAAACTACTCAGCTCTGCCGAGAGTTAGCCTTATTTACTGTCAATTGTTTATGGTCAAATAAAAAGTTATGTCAGAATATATATTCGTCTTGGCAACCACACATGTGAGCAGCTTAAGGGGAGCACTGCTGCACTGTCATTGAACCTTATGATGCATGTCAACACTGCTGCACATAATTACAGATGATGGATATTTTTTCTTTTGGGATTCTAAAACTATGGATGCTCTACCTTTGAGGAACCTTTGTTCTTACGTGATTCCATAATCATAGCAGCATTGTGTTTGGTTAAGCTGGACTTTGACAACTGCTTCCATTACATTCCACTAAAGCCTGTAGGGACAAGAGTCATAAAGTGCTTCTTTGAAAATTGTTGACACACAGCACTTCATCAATCACAGGCCAGACGCATTCACTATAAATTACAAGACATTTATCCATTTCTTTTCATGTCATTAGAAGTTACTGAAATATTCCAGAGCTTTATTTGTCAAATTAGTAAAGACAGAGAGAAGAGAAGGGATCGGTCTTCTCTAAAGAAGTCTCCCTCTCCCTATTTTATCATTGTTGCTAGTTACACAATAATGGTAATACTAACCATAATTATAATAGCAAATATAATTTATTGAAAAATTCTTATGTGCCTAGACTGGAGCTTTATGTATATTAATATTTAATTTAATCTCTAAACATGAAGGCAAGGACCACATTTTGTTCACACCTGTATCCTTATTATTAGTAAAGGATATAAAGTATAGCAATATAAGAAAGAGTTCAAACTAACTCTTGAAAAATACATTTGGGAATTTTATAGAAAGCTGTTAGAATAAGAATTATCTTTGAACTACGACATATACTCGTTAAAAAACCATTGCTGTTGAGTCAATTTTAACTCATAGCCACCCTATAGGACAGAGTAGAGCTGCCCCCATAGAGTTTTTAAGGAGCGGCTGGTGAATTCAAACGGCCGACCTTTTGGTTAGCAGCTGAGCTCTTAACCACTGTGCCACCAGGCTCCATGACAAATATAATGTTGAAGTATAAAGGGCATAGACACTCTGTAGCATAGGTCCTTCATCAACATTTCAACTGAAAGCCACCAGATGCCCCGTCCCCTTTCTCTGCTTTATTTTTCATCTTAGCACTAATCATCACCTAACGTTCTATTTATTTTGCTCATTTGTTTCTTACATCGCTTCTGACTAGAATGTAAGCTCCAAGAAGACAGGGATTTTCACCTGTTTTGTTCATTGCTCAACCACCAGTTCCTGGGCCACAGATGGTGCTCAATGTTTATTTGTGGATTGAATGAATGAAGGCAGAAATGGAGGTCAGGAGAGATTAAAATCTCCATTTAGCTGATAAGTGGCCGATCAGCTGGTAAGGCATCAGGAACTCCAAACTGTCATCCAGGGTTCCTTTCAGCTCTCTCATTCTGTTCTGAAACCTTTGTTAGCTCTTTTCTATTAGCAACCTTGAGAATGACTGAGGTGTATTTCTGAATAAACCATATCCATTCTTGGAAGGTTTCTAGTACATTTCACTGGAGCTGATTCTAGAACTCCCATTATTATACAGGAGAAATAGCTTTTTGCTTTTTTTCTTTTCCAGAATTACACAATCTCGAAGACTATATAAGAGAAAAATTGCTATTTCACAAACAGCTAAACAACATCATGCCAATGGTCCGAATCCAATTCATAAAGCACTTTAGAGACAAACCACAAGAAGCCTAGTTTCAAACAGCTGAATTCCTAGTAGTGTGATTTCTTCTTCAGAAATAAGAGCTGAGCTGAGCCAGCTCCCTATTAAGGATGTTGAGAGATAGCAAACAGAAGTCAAAATTTAGGATAACCCCTGAATAAGTAGAGTGAGGAGGGAAGTAAGGGAAGAAACCACAAGAGGAAAACAAAGGAATGATAATTAGAGTCTCAGACCCCCACCCCGAAATATATTTTACAATCTTTGAGGAAAGAATACAGACATTTTTCAGACCTGCAAGGGCTCAGAAAACTTCTCTGCCACATACTCTGACTAGGATGATATCTAGAGACATACTCCTGCAAAGTAAAGGAATGAGCCAAATAAGAGGGTAATATGAGATGCCAAAAATAGTGAATCCAGTTCAGGAGTGCTGAAAAGGGATATCCTAGGATGACATTATCCAGGAAAACTTGATAGCAATCAGCTTAGATTGGGCAGGAGGACGGAAGGCCCCTGGAGGGGAGTCTTTCAAGGGGGGAAAAAAAAAAACATATTTGACAGAATATGGTTGAATTTGAGAGAAAATTAGGCTATAATAAAGGCAAAAAGCACAAACAAAAGAAGAAAGGCAACCAGAAACTCAAAGGGGCCAAAAAAGCTACATAAAGAAGAAAATATATACTACATTAATTGACTCTGTATGAATATTTATTAACAATATAAATTTTAGAATTTCCCAAAAGGCAAAGCAAATAAGGTATAATCATGGTCATAAAGGAAGAGAATATAAATGCTAAAAATCTTGTAAAACTAAGAAGCTTGGAATTTGTGATGTGGAAGAGGGGAGGGGAGCTGAAGGTGGATTATAGATGCTAATATTGTCATTTTACAAAGTGCAGATTAAAAAGAGTCTGTAGTTGATAAAGAAGAAAAAAGGTGTGATATCATTAAGTTCAAAAGATAAATAAAATAGTTAAACATAGTGATATACCTATTGGGAGGATGAAGGGGAGTAATGTCTAAAATGAACAAATCAAGAAAAAAAGATAGACTTAAAAGTGGTTATCAATGGAGATTAGCATTGGGGATGAGGGGAAGTGTGGCAGGAGATGGTTGCTTTTTATTATAAGCATTTCGTTTTAACTTCATTTTCTAAAAGCAATGTGCTCTAATACTTTGATGGAAAAAAATTCAAGTAGAGGGAGAGAATCAGCTCATGGCTCAGTCAAATCCTAAATTATTTTGCATATTATCTTCTATGTCACATTGTTGTTAGGTGCTGTGGAGTTGATTCCAACTCAGGTTGACCATATGTGACACAGTAGAACTGCCTCATAGGGTTTTCTGTAATCTTTACGGAAGCAGATCTCCAGTCTTTCTCCCACAGAGTGGCTTGTGGGTTCAAACTGCCTAGTTTTCATTTAGCAGCTAAGCGCTTAACCGTTCGTGCCACCAGGGTTCCTTATATCAAATTAAACTGTCCAAATCCTTGTCTGACTTGTAACTACAATTTTGGAAGGTACTATTAAAGGGAATGGAGCCCTGGTGGGACAGTGGTTAAATTGATCTACTGCTAACCAAAAGGTTGGTGGTTCAAAACCACCAGCAGCTCCACGGGAGAAAGATGTGGCAGTCTGCTTCCATAGAGATTTACAGCCTCTGAAACCCTATGGGGTCACTATGAGTCGGAATTGACTCGATGGGAGTGGATTTTATTAAAGGGAGGAATTTGAGAGTATTATCCTAGTTCTTGTAAAGACAGAGATACAGATTGCAAGCTGAAATAATTTCTTAAACCTAAAAGGAAATGAGATAGGTGAAGGTAAGAAAATAGAGATTTTAAATTTTTTATAATTCAACTAGAAAACTAGTGAGCTACAATGACTGAGCCGTGCAGAGTTTCCTTCCATTCTGATAACAGTTTAGAAATGAACAAAATATAAAATGACCAAGTTAATATCCCTTGCTTTCTCCCAACCTCAAGATTTTTAGCAGCTGGAGTTTCATGTTGTTAGGCAGAAATGTTTAATACAAGCATCTGGGATTCATTCTTGTCAACTGTTGCTCTTTAAGAAGGATAGTCTTTATTTTAAAAATATTAACCTTCATTTAAAGCCTACTTCAGAAGAAATGAATGCTCCCTCCTTCCCATTCCCTGCCAATACTTCATTTCAAAGTTCAGCCTGTTCTAGGAAATTGAAAAAGGATCTCCTCCTTACTCCAGAAACTTCTCTGCATTTCACATGAAAAAGCTTCCGGACAGTCCTCAGGGTGACAGGCATCCCTGGGATCCTAAAACCCACTTCCAGATGGGAGCCTCCAAGGTAGACAAGCAGTTCCAGACTTCCAACCCTTTTCCAGATGATAGCCTCCAGAAAGATGAGTGTGGCAGAGACCTAATCCTCTTATTTCAGATGGTGGCCAAAGAGCACATGAATAAATTGAAACATCTTCCCCTTCTACCAGATGTAATTGCCTAGGGGAGAAAACCTTCTGATACCTCTTCAACAGCACTCCGTATTAAGTCTCCAGAAAGCTAAGCCCTGCATATTATTGTTCTGTCTCTCATCTCCTTTTTCTTTTCCTATTCTCTACCCTCAATCCATAAAGACATGCTGTTCCTCACCTGAGTCAAGGTGCTTATCTCTGGGCACACTTTGGGGATTAGGTTATTCTTCAAGGATAGAATCTTAAGGCCAGACAGCTTTTCTAATGCTGAGGGCATCTTTGTAATTTTCTTTCCATTCAGGGTAACAATTTTAGTACGTTTACCACCCTTCAATGCTCCTACTAACAATCTCTCAGCCATGGACTTCAAAGAGGAGTAGAAAATGGAGAGGTAACCATTATGGATTAGAGTTCTTAGAACTCGTGTGTCATAGAAATAAAAACGTTCTGAGATCTACCATGTTGAAGGTGGGAGGCATCAGATGGCTTTTGGTGTAATAACGTAGGTGATTGCAGGTTTGGGGCAGAAAACGTACAAGATGAGCCTAGGATATCTTGTTTCAGAGGCATGAGAAATATCAAAGACTAATAAGGTCACATCAAAAGGACACTGAAGTCAATTTCTAGGGGCTCTCACTGGTCTAAGATGGGAAATTTTGAGGATCAGAAGAAATAACTTATAGTGCACTGAAACATATCAAAAGATATTAAAATCTAAGAGTTCATAATAGCATTTTCTTACAAAAATAAACTGATTGATCACATTGGAGGTTGCTAAGGCACCACCTCATTAGTCTGAAAACTGATAAAGGAAAAAAATCAAGCATTTATTCTGCCTTTCCAGTACAAACTACGATTCATTGTTAAAAGGAGCCCTGGTGGCACAATGGTTAAGCGCTCAACTGCTAACCAAAAAGTCAGCTGTTTGAACCCACCAGCCACTCCTTGGGAGAAAGATGTGGCAGTCTGTTTCCAAAAAGACTTACAGCCTTGGGAACCCTATGGGACAGTTCTGCTCTGTCCTATACAGCCACTATGACTCAATAGCAACGGATTCAGGTCTACAACTCAGAGTAATCACATAGTTAATAAAGTTCTTACTCATAGAAGTGAAGCTAATAAATGATGGAGAAATAGATTTAGAAAAATCACCATTTTTGCAAATCCTAATGAAAATCGGAGCCCTGGTGACACAATGGTTAATCACTCTGCCGCTAACTGAAAGGTCAGCGGTTCCAACCCACCAGCCAGAAAGATGCAGCAGTCTGCTTCCATAAAAACTCCAGCCTTGGAAACCCTATGGGGCAGTTCTACATTGTCCTATACGGTCGCTATCAGTCAGAATTGACTCTTTGGCAGTGATTTTTTTTTTTTTTT